GCATGTATACTGTACACCATTTCAATTTAGTGTTTTGGAATTGCCGCTGTTTGGTCACGTGATGGTCCCGAAGGCGGCGCTTGGCTACCTGACGTTGGCGACGGCACGTCAGCATTGCATGCCTATGCCACTGGCAGTCTGCCAGTGGCAGTACAGTACATGTATATATATATAGACTAGTCAATGGTCCATGTATATATAGTCAAAGAATTAAACCAGCTATCTGCATGTGTTAGTTTCCCCTATGGGACAAAATTCAAAGCGAGTAATAAGTCTATGTCTTATTTTTTCAATGCTAGATCTAGTATCGATACTGTTGACTTTTAACATAATTTTGACACGTCAAAATAAAAACAATTTTAACCTACGCTCATCACCACCACGTACATTTCAATTCTTTTTACTTTAACGTGTCAACGTTATGTTAAAATCTAACAGTATAGATGCCTGATCGAGTATTGAAAAAATAAGACGTAGACTTATTACTCGTTTTGAATTTTGTCCCCTAGAGGAAACTAACATATGCACATAGCTGGCTCAATTTCATTGTTACTAGCTGTACCATAGAGATAATATAAAGGGGAGAGCCAGGCCAAAACCTATCGCTCCTCTAGAAAGAGAGAAAAAATTTGTGGCACTATCTATCCTTGTTAAAAGCATTAGAGTATAAAATATTTGTACTTCATTGCACAATAGCAAATATTAACATTTTAAACATTAAATTATATATTAATTCATGTGTAAACATGACCATATATAAAAATATTTGTATGATTATTGGCCCTTAAGAATAGTTAGTTTATTGTACAGTGTTCTTATTCGATACTTTAACCAAGTTTGTTTTTTCTCTCTTTCTATCGATACGATGTTTCCGCTTACACGCGCGCCCATGTCTCGCCTACTCTATTTACTACAATTAAGATCGTCTTAAGCATTTGCTTAAGTCCCTGTTCCCTGTACGAGACAAGGACTGGAAATATGGGACAGACAGGGATAGCAAATTCTTAACACGATATTAAGAATAAGCACTGCGCATGCGCGGCCTACACAACTTGATTGCAGCGCGTGACGACTTTTATAATTACAACTGCGGCAAATAAGAGCTGTACCCCCACCATCGGAGTTTCCCGACCTGTATATACGACCGTGCTTCACGTCTTACACTTGTTAAACTCACTGAGAAGTTGCTGTGCATAAGACGAGTAACGTCAAGACTCTAACCTCTAAGAAAAACGTGACCGCTTGACAGACTAGATGGACCGAAACGAACGAAAACTGTTAATGAGACAAAAAGTAAGTAACGTACAAATAGAGGAGCTGTAGTTAAAACAATTGTGATCAAAAGCTAAAAGAGAGAGAAAGAGAGAAAGAGAGGAAAGCGAAACATAGTAAGTTCAGGTAGTACGACATGAGATATGATGAATTATCAGGTTTTAATTTATTTTTAGATCTACGAAAAAATAAGATTGCAGATGGCTAAGACGATAGTAAGAAACGGAAATGGCCAACGATTTCAAGTCGCACTAGTACACGAGGATTATCCAGATGTCCGTTGGAATCCGGAACAGGCGTCTAACTTTGCTCGATTCATTATGAATTGGATAAAATGGGAATACTGCGACGAATGGTCGGAACGACCGATATTCGAGAGAATGAGCCTAAGGAGAGGAGGATTCATCTTTCGGTGCGCTGACAGGCGTAGCTACAACATCATGCTCTCGAAGTTGGTAAATTTTGCAACCAAGGATGGAAAGAGACTATGGCTCTATGATCCGGTGGTACTAGAAGCAAAAATGTGGCCCTGGATAAGAGATTTTCGATGGCTGAAAGAGCAATATGGGAATAGCCTCGCTATCAGGAGAAGTGCGTACATGAACGCGAAAAATTCGAAAAAACGCTAAACGATGTAACGAGCTTAGAAGGGAGGACATTGAGCCCCCGTTGTGACACGTTACCGACTGTTAACATGTTTAATTTGTACTTGACTATAAATCCTCTTAATAAATAAAAATTTTTGGTCACTTATCTATAAACGTAACAGTAACCATGAATGTCTTACCCCTGCGTCCCTAAATTGCTTTCAACCGAAACGAATGGGAAAATCGAACTGATACACCTACTCCTTGAATACTCACCTTGTTGACAACCCTGATCCAAATCCTGGACTATCATCACCCTGTAAGACGAACAATCGGCTGATAACGACGGACGGAAAGGACGGTTCCCCAACGGCATTCCAGAGGGGAACCGGACCGAACCGAAGACTGAAGAGACAGAACAGATTCAACACTTTTTACGCTGTACAATAGAATAAAGGATAGCGAGAACTATCTAAAAACATTCGAGTGACTGGAAGATACCGTGAAACGAAAAGAGAAATAAAAAATAGAACGATAATGAAATTCGACGAGACGATATAGAAAACAATAGGCAAAATAAATATAAAAAAAGAGATCCACGAAAGACAATACAGAACTTTAGATAATAGCACTTTGCAAGTAGCTAAAACATATATATGCATGTATCGAGAACTTTAATTGTGAAATAACAAGTGTCTTCCCAAAATTTAACAGGCCGAATCAGAATTATGTAATACGACTTGCCGTCGAAAGGAGTTTCAAAGCAAATAATTTAGGACAAATTAATCAATTAACCTGGATGTTCGAAATAATGAATTAGCAACGACCTATAGTTGGTCACAAAAAGATTCGGACACTGATACAATTATAAGTTCTAAGCTCTTTATTTTCAATGAATATATAAGAAATGGCAAAAGTATATTACATTATGTTACATTATACTGTATAGATAATAGCAGAAAAAAAAATTAAAAATGTATTGTTTATTGTTGCTTAAATATTCAAAAATACACTGAAGAACAACGAATTTTAATGTCACAAAAGGTTTCGGACATTGTAATAATTGTACACACGAAACTATAATACTGGTTCATTATATGTAGAAAGTTTAATATTTAATTGGGTATCCCTTATGTTTGACATCATGATATAAACGTTTTGGCATAGCAGAAATAAGTCTGTAAATAATCAATGCTGATTTTTTCTATTCTTCTTGCAGACGAATTTCTAATTCTTCTATTGATGTGATTGATGTTTTGCGAATCGTGGGATTTAATTCCTCCCATACGTGTTTATATACAACTCGTCATGTTGTCTGAGCTTGGATTTGAAATGCGCGTTAGTCTTATTTCGTTTTTGTTCAAAATGGGACGCACAAGAAATTATACAAGTTATGAAAAACGATAATTAGTAACATGTCATTACGAAGAGAAAAAATCGATCCGTGAAATAGCGTGTTCCTTAAAAATGGCCAAAAGTACCGTTGGAGATGTTATAAAACGCTACCGAGACGAAACTCGAATTAATTCTAAACGTCCAAGTGGCCATTATTCATTATTTAATTAAAATATGCTGATGTGTAGTACTATGAGCGTTCTAATATGAACGAAAAATCGTAGTTACCATGCCTCTATTTATAAGCGATTTCATATTCAAAACATTTCAAAGTCAAAACATTATTTTGATTGAAATAGTGATCAGACCGCACCAGATTTGACTTTCCTCTTTCTGAAGAAGTACCTGACGACCGAAAAGTATTTTCATATAAAGATGAAAAGTGTATTCCCGTAAATTCACATTGTGCACTATGTTTGCTTGGTTATCGAGAAAACAGAGCAAAAAACATTAAAATTTGATCGACAAATGTTAGAAAAGACACGTGACTACGCTAACCCCTTAGAAAACATTGAAAATCCCAAACTTGTAACTCGAATTATTTTTTGTCACAGTCGGAAACAGCTCTACTGAATTGAAATCGACCTGGACTACCTTCACGATAACAATTCTCACGACTGTCATCGTGTTCGTGCTCTCTTCATCGACGACGACAACTGCCACCAACAGGTAGCCTGTACGCGATTGTCAAGCTACTGCAACCATTGTTTAACTCACTACAACAACAAAATTAAAAAGAAGAGAGAAGCAAAAATGAAACATCGTCCATGTAAAACCTAGTAGTCTAGGGCTTCCAGTTATGTATGTTACTATGTACGGAGTAGATAGTTCGAATAACAATTGATTTTTATTAAGAATGGGCCTGTATGTTAAGCGGAAGATCAAAACCGGAGCAAAAGAATATCGATAGCGAGCGTTAATATCCAGCGACAGTAAGAATCGCCTAGGTGTCATTTTATTTTTCAAGCAACTCAACACGCGCATTAGTAGCTATTTTCCAATTGAAAACTTTGTGATAGAGATGAGCGGACGACCCGAGCGTTGATGCATTTCTTCGATCGTGTTCTTTTTTTCTTGAACTGTATCACGGTCGTCTCTAGTACAAACCGAAACATGTGATATGTCAACACCGCACCATCAGGCCGATCAGTCCGACAGTCCGATCGAAGTACTGCTTATATGGACTTGTAGCAGGGCTGGGATCAGGGTTGCCGTATGGAGCGATTATAATCGCGCCTCCTCTGCTCCCGGAGACCCCCACTACCGTATTTTGTCCGCGGTTACGCTACTCTTACGCCACGAGGGAAGCCGGTAGGCGCATCAGGCGCATGTCCAAGAGTAGCGTGAGCGTGGACAAAATACGGTAGTGGGGGTCTCCGGGAGCAGAGGAGGCGCGATTATAATCGCTCCATACGGCAACCCTGGT